TGCGAGCTCTGAGCAACAGGGCCATCGGTTCGATTCCCACATGGGCCAGTGACACTGCCCAGGAGCTGAGCTGCTGCTGAGCTTTTGGCAAGATGGCTCAGCTGGCGAAAGCACGTACTCCGAACAACAAGGTTGCCAGTTCCACAAGCTGCCAACAGGCAGCTGGATGGCAACTGGACTTGGAGCTGAGCTAGCTGCACCCTCCACAACTAAGACTGAAGGACAACAACTTGGCTGTTCCCCTCCCCCCAATTCCCCAATAAAATCTTAAAAGAGAGAGAGAGAGAAAGACAGAAAGAGAGAAAGAAAGGAAGAAAGAAAGAAAGGAAGAAAGAAAGAAAGAAAGAAATACAGTATGGGGAATATGATCAACAATGTTGTAAAGATCATGTAAGGTGCCAGATGGGCACTGAACTTATCAGGGGAAGCACGTCATAGGCTGTGTAGATGCCTGCCAATGCACTATACACCTGAAACTGTAGTACAATAATATTGAATGTCAACTATAACTAAATATATAGGTATACATAGTCATGGAGTATGGAGTACAACATAGGGAAGATAATCAATGGTATTGTAACAGTTATATAAGATGTCAGAGGGGTAGTAGCTTGGAGGGTGGGTTATCACTTTATGAGGGGTTTAAATGTCTAACTATTATGTTGCTTTGTATATCTGAAACTAAAAACAATAAATTTAAAAAGTTAATAATGCAACTCATGTCCCACATACTAGAATTAAATACTTTCATTTTTAAATAAAAACTAAAATAAATGCAAATATTAATATTCCTATCTTTATATCACAGAATTGAAATAGAAAATCTGCCACTGTTGATATCACTATCAATTGCTATGGCGATTTAATCATACTTACTTGCCAATCTGTTAAGCAGAACAAGATTAAATGGATAGGGTCTAAAAGAAATCAACTTCAGTGAAAAAAAAAACTTCAATAAACTTTGGTTCACTTTCTTGTATCCTTTTAAGTTTTCACAATTTTTTTAATTATGGGAAATCATCAAAATACATTTTCCAATATTACAAATAGTAGGTCCTCTTATCCAGAACTTTTTTACCTTTGTACCACTGGGACAATCTTAAAGAAAGGTGTTCTCCATGTAATGTACACCCACTGAGTATGCCCAGAGATTTTTATGATTGCTACATCACTACCAGGACTGGAAATTATGAGCACTTGCTAGCCATAAACCCCCTTTTTTCTGCTACTGATTCAAGACATACCAATGTTGCAATACTGTGGCCTGATCTCCAATTTTATATGTGAGTCACCCTTAGGCCAGGCAGGTTAAAGTTCATTATTAAGAGTACCACAAGGTGAAATCACCAGGGACAGAGCATACTCTCCACCCCACATGTTTTGTTCCCAATCTCCAATTTGTTCAGTTATATTAATATCATGCTGCCCTCTGAATTCACTACTGTGGAACAACTGAGTTAGCCAGGCCAGAATATATGAGTTATTCCACATTAGTGAATTTTCCAGGCCTCTGGAGCCTCTTTTAACTACCAAAACTTTAAAAAGTTATCAATCCTTGCTTTTTTGCCACATTTACTGCAAGGATGAAGACCATTCTCAGCAATCAGACTGTGGACAGTCTAGAAAACGTGGACATCACTCTGAAGGGACACACAGTTATTGTGAATGGCCCCAAAGGCACCACGTAAAGGGACTTCAATCATATCAATGTAGAACTCAGTCTCCTTATAAAGAAAAAGAAGAGGCTCCAGTTGACAAATGGGAAATAGAAAGGAACTAGCTACTGTTCCCACTACCTGTAGTCATGTACGGAACACGATCAAGGGTGTTACATTGGGCTTCCATTACAAGATGAGGTCTGCGTGTACTCACTTCCCTATCAATGTCATTATTTAGGGGAATGGTTCTCTTGTTTGAAATCTGAAATTAATTGGATGAAAAATACATCCACAGGGTTCAGATGAGGTCAGGTGTTGCTTGTTCAGTATCTCGAGTCCAGAAAGATGAGTTAATTCTTGAAGAAAATTATTTTAAACTTGTAACAAATTCAGCTGCTTTGATTCAAAAAGCCACAACAGTTCAAAACAAGGATAACAGAAAAATTTTGGATCTATGTTTCTGAAAAAGGAACAGTTCATCAGGCTGGTGAATAAGACTTAAGTTGTCAAGCTACAGAAATGCCAAGATGTCAAGTGACTCCTCAGGCTTATTTGTTTTAAAGATGCAATAAAAGTCATGTATTGGGGGATGGGAGGGAGAGGGGAGGTTATCAATCCTTTTTGGTAGAAACCTTCCAAAACTGAAAAGACACACAAATTCAGATTCCTTGGATGTTCCAGTGAAATAGCTCTGACATTCTTTTAATTCTTTGTTTAACTACCAGGTAATGTGCCTCATGAATATTTTCCTGTTATGCTACTAGTCTTGCTTGTGTTCATTTTGGATCCATCAGTGAACTCCACTATTTCACTGTACTCATTCAATTCCTACTTTATTGGCAGAACATGAAAATGTTATAGCAACCTGGTGGAGTCAGTGGTAGAAGCAGGTGGATTTAAAATAGCAGAGAAGTATATTATTTTCCAGACTTCTTAAATACCATTTCTATCAGTTATAGTATAATATTAGGGCCAAATTATTTGCATAGACCTTTGGCTGCCATATTAAAAGGCCAAGGTTGCTACATTTTTTGAGCTTCTGCTATCATTTCTTACTACTGTCTATGTGTTATCACCAAGTAATTCCCCTATCTCCAATAGTCTATTCAACTACAAAATGGGAATCAATTTATCTATTAGGCTTAAAAAAAACATATGTCGGGCCGGCCGAGTGCCGCATTGGTTAAGAGCTGGCTTGGGACTCCAGCTCTGAGCAGCAGGGCCCTGGTTCGGATCCCACATGAGGACCAGTGACACTGCCCTCTACAGCTAAGATGATGAACAGCAGTTCAACCTGGAGCTGGGCTGCCGTGAGTTGCCAGTGATGGTGTAAGCTGCAGCCCCTGCTACAGTGGGCTGCCATAAGCTACCGTGAGCGGCCAGTAGCCAGTGTGAGCTGCCAAGAGCTGCCATGAGTGGCCATCCAGAGGCCGGTGACCAATCTGCCTCACCCGGGAAGAGCGCAATGATGATACCAACATAGGCCAGTGAAGCAACGTCCTCTACAACTAGACTGAAGAACAAAAGGACAGCAACTTGTCTGTTCCCCTTACCATGATTCCCCAGCACTGTTCTCCTCCCCCAATTCCCCAATAAAATTTTTTAAAAAAAAATGTCAAAAATGTATTAAGGAAATTCCATGGGAAGGGGGGTTCTCACTTTGTGAGGAGTAAAAAGCATATTTATTGCATTGTTTTGTACACCTGAAACTAACAAAGAAAAAAAAAAAGAAAAGAAAGAAAGAAAGAAATTCCAAATGAAGGCTTAAGGAATTTTCCTCTTACAATATATAGCAGTATGAACTTTGATTTAACTATTCAGGTTCTTTTTCATTTTTGTTTGCTTCTACATTCTGATAGTTCTGGTTTCTGGGTAAGTGACCTCTGGAAAAGTCAGTAAAGCTTCTGATATGCTGCATTTGTTTTTAAGTCTATTCCATGTGAATTCATACAAAAATTCATATAAAAATTCACATAAAAGATAAAGTGCTTGCAATCAGCATAGAGACCTAAACTAAGCAAGAGTAAACCTACAACACTCTAAACCAGTGTTTCTCAAACTTGAATGTGCATGCAAATCCCTTGGAAATCTTGTGAAAATGAAGATTCTGATTCAGTAGGTCTGAGGTTGGGCCCAGGCTTCTGCATTTTTAATCAGCTGACATATGATGCTGAGTCTTCTAGCCCTACATACTACACTTTCAGTAGCAAAGCTGTAAAATACATTGTTTTTTTTCTCTCCTTCTGTTTCTAAATCTTCATTCCCTGCTTTTTGCTTCTCTTGCTTTACTCTATTTCTTGCAGCAAGTCTGCCAAGAGGAACCACAGTAACTTTAACCTTGTACATAGCCTTTGGAACTATAAAGGTTTTCTAATCTATAACATAAGCTATAAAAATCACAGTGCAAAAGGGTCAAAACACTAGAATAGTCATAAACTTTCTCTAACTGTGACCAAAAATAATGCCAATTCTGCTGATTATGAACAGATTTATGATACTTGTACAAATCCTTATAACCTGTTAATAATAAGTCTTTTTTGGTCTACTCTAAAATTATTAGAAATTCTGCTACCAAGCATACCTAATCCTCAAGAGATCAGCTTTCTAATAAATTAATATTGGAACCATATATGCCTTATAATCTTATATAAATTTCACTTACAGTTGCATTATGCCAGATTCTATCAAATGGCTCATAACTCTCATAAGAATTGCTAGATTTAGAACGACTCCTCAATATAATAATTACTAGCCTAGCAAACATATGGTAACAGCAATGTGCTTACCAAAAGACTATGCACCTAATCAACAAACAGTAGTCTCATTTTACAGTGGGGAAACCCGAAGCTTATCCAGGTTATGCATTCAAGTGAGCACAGTGCAGAGTATGAAACACCTAGCTTTAAAACTTATCTTATAATCATTATACACTACAAGTCAAACACTGTTAAACTTCCTTTTAGGTACAGGAACTAAATCTTTAAATTAAAATTGTGTAAAATAGCTGGCTTCTCAGTAACATTCAGAAATATGGTTTCTGTATAATGTTGGTCTCTGCCAGTACAGTGAACAATGTAAGTGCAATCCGATTCCATGGTATAGTTTTCTCCCAGGGTAACTGAAGCAGATAATTCCACTCCATCAAACCAGACAACAGTGCATTCTAGTGGCCAAAGGAGAGCATGAACAGAAGTGTCTTTGGGACTCTGTACTAAAACTTAAAATACCTGAAATCTAGAGGCTAATAAGAAAATATTACAAATATTATATGAATTTCTGTAGACTTAAAGAAAATGAGTATTTAAAATTAAAATGAAGATATAAGAAAGGAAAAAATATTACCCAAAAGCTCCAGTCACCACTCCAGTTATGTAAATGTGGCCCCTGTTTTTTAGCTGACACTATATTATTCTCATCCACAATTGGACTAGGGTTCTCCTCTAACTCTTCCTGTGACTCGGTGGCAAAGCTTGAATTCCCTTCGTTTATCACCTGAGAACAAGTATCAAACAATTTAAATTACTTATTGAGAAATGTCCATTTTAAAAAGAAATAAGGTAATGTTCAAAATACATAAATTAACTTGAAAAGGATAACATTTAAGCTTGCAGAAAACAGTAATTAGATATAGTTTTGTTTCCATAGTTCATACATTTACACATGCAACAAATATTTTCCAACTACTGCCATTTGTTAGGTAGTTTAGTTGGCACTAGGAATTCAAAAATGAATAAAACAAAGATCCGAGTCTCCAGAAGTTCTTAGTCAGCTATAGAAACAATTACACAGTAAAAAAAAAAAAAAAAGTAATGGGAATGACAACTGGTTCAACCTCTTTAGAGAATAATTTGCAATGCCTAGTAGAGCCTAAGAAGGGTATATACTACAACCCAGCAATTTAATGTGCCCGTGGAGTCAACAATATTTGTAATACTAAAAAAGTACAAACAACCGTACTGTCCATTGGTAGGAAAATTGGTAAATTAACTCTGGTCTATACAAACAGTGGAATTAAAATAAACGCATCAGATGTCTCAACCAGGCATTGGCCCCCAATCTATAGAGCACTCAGGGGAAAGATTATGCCCTATGCAAGATACAGGCCCATCCAGTGGTCACTCATGAAAGAGCAGTCATTATGGAGTCAAAAATGGAAGAGAGAAAAGGGAGGTGTGGAGGGGGAGGGAGAGCATCCATTATAAGAGCACACAGCTCACCAGGACCCTTAAATACCTCTGCTGCGGCTGCTGCCACCTATACTCCATTGTAACAAAAATCCCGATCCCCGGGTTTACAGGGAGAAGCACCCATGGCACCCATGTAGCACAGCAAAGGGTTAATTCAAGCTCAACTTAATCTTGGGGTTCTTACACTCTATAAAGTAACCATAAGGGAAGCACATAACCCTGGTGATACTGAGTTAAGGCTCTCTGGAAGAAGAAATTTATAAATATGAAAGGGTAGAAAGGACCTCCTCTACCTGAAGTATATTCATTCATTAACCACCAAAATGAGAGAAAAAGAAACAAAGTTGGATACAAGGGAAAGAAACAAATAAACAAACCAAAAACTGAAACAGAAGTTGGAAACACAATGTGGCATAGTTGGAAATCTAAAACTTATTAAAATAATTTATACAACAAAAGACAAAGATTGGTTTTTCCACCTCTTCAGCATAGGTTTTGCATTAACGTCAACACCTGCTGAAATGTATCAACTGGCAAGTCTTCATGGCTTTAATCAATACTGGGCTCAAACTACAGCTATACTTGGAGATCTCACTAAATTTAAACCATGTACTCCCAATAATCTTAGGGGAATTACTCAACATGAAACAGACAACGAATAGGTATGTCTCACCTTAACCACCAGAACTACTGCCTTGCCTAAATTCTCCCTGGTCATAGTACACATTGCCCTAACATAACCTATAGTGGAAGTGGACACTCTGACCCAATGAGTAATAAATTTAAATCAAGTCTTTGGAGCTTACAAATTGGATTTTTCAAAAGTGGAACCCTATGGACCAACCACCCCACCCCAATCCCTAGTTAAAATAGCTAAAACAGATCAATGCAAAATAAAACGGGGCTTCAAAGATTGAGATTTATTATACAAGAATTAGTGAAAGAGTGGTTATCCCTACTGTTTCTCCATTTAACAGCCCAATGTGGCCTGTTAAAGTTGGAAAAATGAAAGGTGTTTCACAGTTGACTATTGTATCCTTGATGCTGTGGTCCAACCCATGAAGGCCCCTATATCCAACTATTGAAATTACTGACTCCATCCAATCAGAAACAAGTAAATGTTTGACTAATATGTTCTGTTCAGTGCCCCTTTCAATGTTTCAGTGCCTCTCTCAGTAACAGTTTGCTTTCACCTCCAGAGGTACACAATATACCTTTACCTAGCTACACATAAGGTATCTCAAAAGCCTTGCCATTACATGCAGCCTTTACAGGCAAAATCTTAACTGTATCCCATTTTTCTCCAGGAGCACAGGTATGACATTACCTTGATTACATCCCCTCTCTGAGGACATTCTTTTGACACACCCATTCAGGATATACAAATACTCAGAAAGGAGCTCACATCAGGGATGACCCATTGCCCCACACATAATGTAAGGCCTGCCACTTTGGTTAAATGCCTGAAAATTATTTGGTAAACCAAGGGCAATAGACCCTGTCAGCACCTACAACATTAAAACAAGCCCAACATCTTTTAGGCTTTTGGGAGTTCTCGAGGCAATATATTCCTCATTTTACTTAGGCCTATTTATGCTGTTACTTGCAAAACAGTCCATGCTGAATGGGGTCCCCTCCCCAGAAAGATTGTAAAATTGGTCAAAATTATAATTTACAGGCACTCTCATTAATGCTACTCCCTCTCCAACACACACACACAGACACAGACACACACACACAATCCTTCACTGTGAAGACTGAAGCAGCCTTTTTTCATGGCTCCTGGAGTCCCTGAACCACCCATAAAAAGGTCCATAAGTTTTCCACAGGCTTCTGATGAAAGAAGCTATCTCCTCAGCCCCACACTATATGCCATTAGAGCAGCAATTACTGCCAGGATACTGGACTCACTGGGAATGGGGCCTCTGACCCTCCATCCCAGCTGCCCGTTATGCCTTGGGTCCTGGAAGCAACACCTTGCAAGCTCAGCACAGCCACCAAGTCCTCCTTTCTTCAGGATAGAACCAAATCTGAGTCCTCTGGCACATCCCACCTGCAGGAGGGCATGGCCTCCCCTATCCTCATTCCTTTGTCAGGTATCATGGTATTGGAAGAGGTCCCCTCTCTTCTAAATCCCTCTAATACCTGGGGAGCAGCTTGGGTTCGACTGAGTGAACAGCAATACTTTGTACTCTTCAAACTATCATTTGAAGTTTTGATGGACAAACTTGCTTTTTGGTGGACAATCACCACCATTACACATGATGGAGCTGCTAGAGACCTACTGCTTTTCATCCCTTAACCAGGATGTCCCTGATAAAGGAGGGAACCCAAGGGTCAGCACAATTGGCTGAACTTCCCACAGTCATCTTCACAGTGAGTGCTTTGGCTAACAACTGGAGCCATCTGCATATTTTTGGAGATTCTAGGGCCACTGCCTCAGAGTTGTGCCCTTTGGGGTAAAGAACTCTGGAACTCTCTTGCTTCATAGATACTCAAAATATAAATCAAAGTCACACATGTCTCTACATATCCTAAAGCCATAATAAAAGGCCTCACCAGGACACTCTTTATCCCCATCAGAGTTTCAGACATTACTCAGTGACCAAAGGCACTCATTGTGTTTCTCAAAATACGTATCACTGGACTCTTGACCAAGGCATTCGACGGAACGTTTATCTTCCTTACTGGCTTCAGCCCTCAGGCCTCACGGAGAGCCATGATGGCTTGCTTAAGTTCAAATTCAACTAAATGAAAAATGATACGTTTCAGTCATCAGGGGTGAACTACAAATAAGGACTCTCATTCAGTTTGTTTGTTTGCTGACAGCTTTTAAGCCTCACCCCTCCTTCTTCCTCTTCTGTCCCTCAAATGAGCCAGTTGGTAAGAAAGCCTGGGTGCTCTTTCCTTTGATGTGGTGGACGAGTCAAACCAAGCAAGCCCCTGACCACACACAGGAACCCTCACACTGACCCCGCCCCCTAACCCCGTCCCCTAACCTGGAGCCAGCCTCCTTTCCTTGACCTTTCAAGTCATTTCAGATATGCTTGAGAAGCCTGCTGTGCTCTTCCTTTCATTATGTAAGTACATAAGTAATAAGCCTTTACATATGTAATAAACCTCTTCATACCTTCATGGCGTGTGTGGCATCCATTCTGGATTTGTAGAGTGGCGACACGTAAGTCCTATCTCTCTAACTTAGCTGTGTGGTCACTGGCAGTCACTCAAATCTCCCTAAATCTGTTTTCTCAACTCTATAGTAGGGGTGATGATTCTCTCTAGTCTAGACAATAAACTCATGGAGAGCACGGATTACGTCTGTGTTGCTCACTCTCTTATGCCAAACACCCAGCGCCAGGGACATTGTTGAATGAATGACTGATTAATGAATATCTGTCTTGCCTATGTCCAAGTAATGTTTTGAGAATCAACTGAAATACTACATTCATCATTTGTTCATTCAACAATTGCTTGAGTGCCTGTGCCGTTTTGTAAACTGTAAAATGCTACTCAAATAAAAGGTACTGCACTGATTGCAATTCTCTTAATATGTATATATATATATATATGTATGTATGTATATAAAAATAAAATATGGAACCAGTGTAAAAGTAATGAAAAGAGTATTCAGAAATGTAGATACTCCTGCAGCAACAGTAGGTTTTCACCCTGAAGATAAATCAAAAAGTTCTTCCATTTATCAAATAAGGTAGCAAACAAATCACAAAACTAGCTGAAACCAAAACCATAGTTCACAGCACAGGGATTTAAACTTTCTAGGCAGAACCCTTTAATCAAGAGCTGACAGTTACAGGAAGAGGGTGCAACTGAATCAACGTGATTGGGTCAGAACCATGACAGTGGAGCATTCCTGGGTCAATGGACCCTTAGGCTGAGACATCTATCTGGAATTGGTCACTGCGGGACCAAGTTCCTGCACTCCACGCCCACAGAGAAGCATAGCTTCCCACCACCGACCAGAGGGGAAAGGCTCGCAGGAAGCACAGGAAACCGTTTCCTTGGTAACAACTTTCGACAGTACTCCAAAGAGCACCAAGAAAAGGGAAGGGAGAAATTAATTATCATAATCTGAGAGGGTTCAAACAATCATCGCGAAGAAAACTGATAAACCACCGCTTGGGAACCCACCCCAGCGAGGCGCCCCTTACCTGGCGGACAGTCAGAGAGCCCTCCATCGCGGCTCCATCCGCCGCCGCCCGCCGCGGTACCGCGCACGCGCGCCTCGCTACGGGGAGGGGGCGGCCAGGCACGCGCCCAGCGCCCACCGCAGGCGCCCCGCCCGCCCGCCCTCAGAGGGCCACCCGTGGTTCTGCTGGCGCGCCTTGCTCCCTCTGGCGGCAGTTGAGGAAACTCCTGCCTTTGGCTAACTTCTAAGAGTGTAATGTTACCTTGTTAGCTTGAGATCAATTATTACTAGGGATCAGGATGATTGACAAAAACACAGAAGTCTGATAACACATTCTGTTGACAAAACTGTTAGGGATACAGGAACTCTCATAGTGGGAGTGTAAAATAATATAGCACTTCGGCAATAGCACTTTGATAATAACTGTAAAAACTACAAAATATATATAATCTTGCAGCAATTCTACTTCTGGAATATTTCCTATAGATTTAATTGCACACATGCAAAATAATGTGCAAATTTATTCATTGGAAAATTGTTTGCATTAGCAAAAATTGGAAACAAATATTCTTCAATAAAGGCCTGGCTAAATAAACTATGTAAATTCATTCATTGGAATTATATGGGGTTGTTTTGTTTTGTTTTGTTTTGTTTTGTTTTGTTTTAAGAATAAGGAGTGAGAGGGCCGGCCAAGTGGCGCATTGGTTAAGAGTTGGCTTGGGACACCAGCTCTGAGCAGCAGGGCCCCGGTTCAGATCCCACATGAGGTCCAGTGACACTGTGCCCTCTACAGCTAAGATGGTGAACAACACCTCTACCTGGAGCTGGGCTGCCATGAGCAGCCTGCGATGGCATAGGCTGCAGTGGACTGCCATAAACTACTATGAGTGGCTGGCAGCCAGCATGAGCTGCCAAGAGCTGCCATGAGTGGCCATCCAGTGACCAGCGACCGATCTGCCTCACCTGGGAAAAGCGCAATGATAATACCAACATAGGCCAGTGAAGCGACGTTCTCCACATCTACACTGAAGAACAAAAGGACAGCAACTTGTCTGTCCCCCTTCCCCGATTCCCCAATGCTGTTCCCCTACCCCAATTCCCCAATAAAATCTTGAAAATAAATAAATAATAAATAAAAAAGAATAAGGAGTGAGATCAACAAAAATGGCAAGGTAGGGAACTCTGAAAGTCCGTACCTCAACAAAAACAGCAAATACGCTGGCAAAAAACTGTCAGGACCAACTTATTCAGAACTCTGGAATCTAATAAAAACTTATAACAATCTTAATTAAGCTTAATTAAGCTTAATTAATTAATTAAGAAAGCTTAATTAAGAAAAAAACAGCTGGGTCTCAGTAAAAGGGCTTTGTGACATTTTAATTAACCCTGGTAACATCCCCCAGTCCACAATAGCCTACATTCCTGGTACTGGTTTCTAGTATTGGAGGGAGCTGTACAGAACTTAGTCTCAAAGAATTGTGGTTGTTTGCTTTGACCTGCCTGGTGGCTCCTGAAGGACCAGCTCAAGGATCTCTCCTTATTTCACCTAATTCAGAACTCCCCCAGGGATGAGACAGCCATCTAAAGGGGGAGAGAGGCATTTGTTGAGAACATTTGAAGGGACATGTCTTAGTCACTGCCACTTGGGGTAAGGGAGAAGAGTTAAGGCAAAAAAGAAAAAAACCTGAAAAGCTTGGAAGGAAATGCTGGAGAATAAGACGCTTTAGGGAATAAAGTCTTGGAAAAGCTCCCATAAATTTCTGAGAAGCTAGGAAACTACACCTATACCAGAGTTGGGAGCATGCAGAGAAGAGACCTGAGAAGGCCCTAAGATCTCAGATTTGGCTGATCTTCCAGCTCTGATGAGCAGGAAGGGAGAGCTAAGGCAGAGATGTGAACTGCCTGCCTAGGTGTTGAAAGCATGACAACACACATGACCCATCTGCAGAGACTGGGAATATTTTATCTTCCATGTTTTTGTTTATTTGTTTGTTTTTTGGCTCCAGAAGTTTAAGGAAATCTCTGTCAAATCATGAGCTGATCACTAAGTTAACAGAACAGATTTGTGTGGCCACACATGACAAAGTACAAATTTTATAAAACGAGTTCACTTAAGAGGTATCTAGACTAATCAAATTCATTGAGAACAGAGTAGAATGATGGTTTCAAGGGTAGGGGGACACACAGAATGAGGAGCTACTGTTTAATGGGTATAGAGTTTCAGTTTGGAAAGATGAAAAAGTTCTAAAGGTATCGGATGGTAGGGATGGTTGTGCAACAATATGAATGCACTTAATGCCACTGAACTGTACACTTAAAATGGAAAAGATGGTAAATTTTATGTTATGTATGTTTTACCACAATAAAAAAAGTTCACAAAAGTCTAAACAAACAAACAACAAGTACCAGAACAAGCAGCCACGACAAACCCTGGGGATGGGGACAATCTGATTTCCAGAGTTGCCACACTATAATATTCAAAATGTCCTGTTTACAAAAAAAATATATTACAAGACTTGAAACAAGACAATATGGCCCATATACAGGGAAAAATTAATGGAAGCTGTCTCTAATGAAGTCCAGACATTGAACAGATAAAACTCTAAATCAACTATTATATATATATATATATATATATACTCAAAGAGCTCAAGGAAATCATGCACAAAAATGAGATCCATGAGAACACTGTCTCACCAAATAGAGAATATCAATAAAAAAATGATAAGAGGAGCCACATAGAAATTCTGGAGTTGAAAAATGCAACAACTGAAATTAAAAATTCACTAGAGAGGTTCAAAAGCAGATTTGAGCAGACAAACTTAAAGATAGTTCAATTGAGATTATCAAATCTAAGGAGCAGACATTTTTTAAAGTGTGAGGAAATAAAGAACAGAATCTAAGAGATCCGTGGAACACCATCAATTGTACCCACATACACATAATGAAGGTCCTAGAAGGAGAGAGAAAGGGACAGAAAGAATATCTGAAGAAATAATGGCAAAAAAAAAAGAAAAGAAAAGAAAAAAGGAAGGAAGGAAGGAAGGAAACAAGGAGGGAGGGAGGGAGGGAGAAAGGGAGGAAGGAAGGAAGAAAATTGTACTGTTATGGAAAGATCTACAAAATATGTTATTAAATAACAAAAGCAAAGTCAAAACTACATATAGCATCAAAAATGCATCCTACGAATCTAATCATGAGGAAACACCAGACAAATTCAAATTAAGGGACTCTACAAACTAATTGACTTGAATTCTTCAGAAATGTCAAGCTCATGAAAGCCATAAAAAGACTAAAGCATTTCCATATTAAAGGAGATGAAAGACATATGGCAACTAAATGCAATGTGTGATCTTGGATTGGATCCTGAACCAGAAAAAAAAAATGTGTGTGTGTGTGTGTGTGTGTGTGTGTGTGTGTGTGTTATAAAGAACATTATCAGGACAATTGGAACACTTTGACTCGTCTGCAGATTAGATTATAGAATGTATTCAATGCTGATGATATTGTTTTTGATAATTATGCTATGGCTAGTTATGAGAATGTCCTTGTTTTAGGAAATGTGTGGGAGTATATTTATTTACATTTAACTGATGTAGCTAGGGTTTAACTCACTCTCAAATGATTCAGAAAAAAAGTTATGTGCAGAGACAGAGAATCATAAAATAAATAAAGCAAACATGGAAATGTTAATAATTGGGGACTCTGAGTAAAGGGTATATAAGAAGCCTTTGTACTATTCTTGCAACTTTTCTTATTTCAAATAATTAAAAACTATTATAACCTGTCAAAAAATACAGTGAAATCAGCCTGCACAGGTGTGTGTTTTTCTGCAGTTGCACAAGTGCAAGCATAAAACAGGCAGAGTTGGATAGAGAAAAAGACGTATAAGAGAAAGGGGCAACGTTTCCTAGGAGAGTAGGATTAGATCCAGTGGACAAAATAACTTTAGAGATTCAAAAAAAAACTAAGGATACATGTGAAGTAGAAGCTAGTGTTGGGGTAAAAATAGAGAAGTGCAAGTCGAGAGAGTTCTTACGTCATTTGCTAAAGGTATTGGGTTTCTAGATTTAATTTCATTAAGTTGTGAATTATTTAAAACCACCTTGAGCCAATTTCTGAAATGGGATGCCTTATATTATCTAATGTAGCCGCACTACAACCTATGGTATTAAATAAATAAACATACCCAAATTTGACCTGCCATCTCTCACACCCCTCCCCTATTGCTGTTTTTAATGATATCTATTAACCTCACAATTTTAGCATTGCTATTTTGAGTAGAAATGCTTTACTTTTACAAATATATAAGCCAATGTTTTCTAATAAACTATTGATAGTGTAATTAAATTCAGAGGTTGTCAAACATGTTGAGACAATGTTTCCCCTTATATATACTCTTCCTGGAAATTAGACATATTTAGAAACTACTTAATTATTTTATTGAGTCTAACAGGCCACAGGAGTATCATTTTTTTAAAATCTCTAGTGAGATCATTTACAATTTAGCAGTTATAATTCATAGATAAGTGCTTTAATTCGACCTTCTAAAGCTAAGAATAGAAATTGTGCTCATTGTGATTAGAACCCAATACTAAAACTATATAAATTGTAAAATACCTAGTATTTTTTTTGTGTGTAGCTATTTTTGTTGGAAACAGAGAAGCGCATACAAATATCAAGTAGTATCTTGCGTTGGACCACACAGCAGTGCATTTGAAACAAAATACTCCTCTACATGATTCAGATCCTAAAACAGAACAGACATAGAAGATAAAGATGTGGGCTTGAATTCTCAATTCTCTGATAATTAAGGCTACAATTTAAACACCTTCTTTTAGGGAAAGATTCTCAGAAGATGCTTGTCTAACCATATTCAACATGGCTGGAAAAATCATAGCAGTTATTTCTTTCTACTCAATGAGAGTTTCTATGGAAGAGAAAATGGTACAGAGGGAGGAAATGGGAGGTAATGTGTTTAGTTCAGTTCCCTAGAAGTTGAGCCTGAGAAATTCCTTTTAAAAGGGGGTCCTTTTAAAAGTATTCAGTAAGCACTTTTTTTTTTTTTTT